CCAATGAAATAAAAGAATTTCTTAACTCTAATCATTTTAACACTTTTCAAATTAAAACAAGAAGCTTATCAAAAAATTACATAGCATAAACATCGGTTGAAACTTAATTCCAGTGAACAAATCCAGGTTTTGCATTTTTTATAAAATCCTGACCCGAATATAATAAGTGCTTGAATATCGAATTCGTTTTTTGTAGTAATAAGTTATAACAAATTTTGCTATAATATATTAAAAGTACTTATTAAATATAATAAATATATTAAATTATTTAACTATCGCAAATTATTATAAGAAAATGAGTATAAACGGTTAAAATAAATTTTAATAATTCGGGTCTTGATTTTACAAAAAAACGCGAAACCTGGATTTGCTCACTGGAAAAAAGCATCGACCAAACATTACATTGCATAAACATGAAAGAATCTCTTAGTACTTTTAGTTTAATTTGTATTTCAGAAACTTGATGCAGCTCAGATAACGCAAATTCTAATACAAACACCTGTTGACCAGGTTTTAAAAAAAAATTTTAAAGGGTCAAAATAAAAAGCGAGGCGGTGGTCTAGTAATTTATATAAAAGAATGCTTAAGGTATATTATCAGGCCTGATATGAGTAATTCTAACGACAATAAAGAGGTTTTAACTGTTGAAATTATAACCTTAAAAAAAAATCAGTTGTAATTATCGACCACCCTTTGGTCAAATTGAAAACTTCAATATATTTTTTGATGATATTTTAAATAAAAGCCTTCATAAAAAGAAACTATACTACTTAATTGGTAATATTAATTTGGACTGTTTTCAATACTAATTATAAAATAGAATTTTTAACGGTGTATTAGAACATGGCACATTTTCTATAATTAACAAGCCAACAAGAATAACTGCAACATCGGCTACCTCATTAGACAAATATAATAACAACCGATATTTTTAATAAACCGCTTAAAAAAGGTATAACTAAAAGTGATATCTTTTACTTTTTTCCTATTTTTTTTAATTTTATTTTAGCGAATTTAAAATCATTCAAAGAACAATTATCTCTGCTTCATTGGAAACAAGTAGAAGCTTCTACAGATGCTAATCTAGTTTATGACTCATTTTTTATATATTTTAATGAAATATAAATTTTAATTTTCCAAAACTTACTGTAAATAAAAAACCTAAAGCTATAGTTTCGTCATGGATCACAAAAGATCTCAGAAAGTCCTCTAAAATTAAGCAAAAATTATACAGTGGTGAACAAATTATTAGAAACTTTTGTTCAGAAACTACATATGAGATTTAAAACTGCTATTGCACACGCATTTCATCATATATTATACACATAAACATATTAGATGTTAAAGAATGTCTTTCTAATGCTTTGTGTGGCCACCTTTGGCTTTAATTAGTGCCTGCAGTCGATCTGGCATACCTCTAATCAACTTGCCATATATATCCTTGATCTCATCATCATGAAACCACACATGAATCAGACGTTCTATTAAGACTGATTATTGGTTATTAGCACTTCATGGATTTTATCCTTGAGCTTATTCCAAAGTGACTCTATAGAATTCATGTCAGGAGAATTCCGTGGCCATGGAAGTACCTCAATGTCTTTTTTTGTCATCCAATTGTAGACTTTGCGTGGCATGGAGCTGAGTCCTGCTGAAAAGTACAGGTGCTGTCCTGGAACCAGACACGTATATGGGGCTTCAAACGGGTACTGAGCATTTCAATGTACTTTTCTGCATTCATTGTGCCCTGTACAATGTGCAGACGACTTGTTTCTTGGGTGGATTTTGCATCCCATACTATGGTCTTCGTGGGGAATTTTACTGCCTGATAGGGGCAATTTTCTCTGAACTCCTCTCCTGGTCTTCTTCTTACATTTTGAACTCTGTCATCTAATACTTGGATGGTAGACTCATCTGAAAAAATGCAAGGACCCATTCCATACGTGCTTGCTTCATTTTCTTAGTAAGCCGAGGTTTTTTTCTTGGGCGCGTTAGCACGAAGGTTAGCACGAAGCCCAGCTTCAAGCAATCTTCGATTAACAGTCATCCGACTTGTATTCACACCTTTCTCTTCCAAAATAGAAGCAATTTTTCTACCTGAAACTTTTTTATCAAATTGGCACAGCTTTACAATATTTCCTGTCTGTTCGTAGAGTTGTTTTTCTCTTACGGCTACATTTTACAATCCTCTTTGCCTCAAGGCACTTGCCTTTATCAAGTGTTTTCTTCATTCTGCACACAGATGAAGTCAATATTTTCAATATTTGTTACTTCCTTCTGGATTATTTCTGTATTGTTCAGTATACTTGAATTTGTCCCTTTTTTCTAAGGCTCAGATCACTCGTTTTCCCCATCCTATAGTCTAGAAAAAGCAAACTAAAAAAATATCAAATTTTAAGTACAAAAAGAAAATTCAAGACAAAACCAAATGCATACCAGATACCAGATTAAAATTTGACGTCTTTACATCGGATCTCTGATTTTCAGGATCAATTAATTTAAAAAACAACGTTTTCACCTCTGGTTTCTAATAATTTGTTCATTACTGTATATCAAATATTTAAAAACCAAAACAGAGGAAATTCTTTACAAAAATTATGCCAAAAGTTGTGAAAGAAAAAGGAAAAGTTTTTACTTGAGATAAACAAGAATAAATCAAAACGCACCTGGGAGATCATAAGAGAAATTACTGGCACGCAGATGACAAAACGTGCACTCGACCCAAAACTTTAATAATTAGCGATGATTTTTCCTCCAATCCAACTATTATATGTGATAAATTATACAAATATTTTGTAACAGTTGACTTAAAATTAGCTTGAAAAATATTCCTTCTGTGATTAACAAAATAGATGCTTATGGTTTTTCGATATTGTCAATTTTAACATGGAGTTGTCACGATGGAATAAATAGTAATGTTGTCATCAACGCGTGCCCACTGGAATGAACCCTTAAAAGATGTACTATTTAAAGTTTTTCATTCTTCAATAAAACAGGGAGTATTTCCAGATCATTTAAAAATAGCTGAAGTCACTTTACTTTTTAAGGTAGGCGATCCAACCATGGTTACAAATTATCGCCCAATTTCTGTTCTTCTAAAGTTTTAGAAAAAATTTTATATAACGTTATTTATAATCACCCTTTTTTAAATAATATACTATATATTAATCAGTAAGGGTTCATAAAAATAACTCGACAAAACACGCTCCAAATTACTCGCAGTATAGCTGAGAAGTCCCAATATACGCTGGAAGTTTTCATAGACGTTTTACTTTATTGATCATCAAATTCTTCTTAAAAATAGAATACTTTGGACTTAAAGGTAATGTTTTAATATTACTTAAAATTTATTTTAGCAACCTTAAACAGTTTGTTTAAAGTAATGAAACTGGTACAACTAATTTATTAAATGTTGTAAAGTTGATGATGATATAATCTATACTCGAACCTCGTTTTAATTTACATCAATGATCTCCCTAATTTTAATGACTGTCATGTTTGCTGATAACACTAATCTCTTTTTATCGCATAAAAGTATTATAACTTTATTTCAAAATGTGAACATTGAATTAGAGAAATTTAGTGAATGGTTCAAAATGACTAAATTGTCACTAAATGTCAATAAAACAAAATGGTCACTTTTTCATCCGACTTCTAAAAAGAAACTTTCCGACTTACTCTTACTTTTTATAGACAAAATCCAAATAAAAAGAAAAATAAATACTAATTTTTTAGATATATATGTTGATAAAAACTTTAGCTAGAAATATCACACTAATTTTCTGTACAAAAAAATTGCTAAAAGTATAGGAGTAATGTATAAGGATTTACATATTTAAATGCTTTAAATAAACAAAGTTTAATACAATTGTACTTTTATTTTATCCATTGTCAATTAAACTATGCAAATATTGCTTGGTGCATTGCCAATTAAAGTAAACTGGAACCTCTTTATCGTCAGCAGAAGCATGTTGCTCATCTTATCAATTTTAAAGACAGATTTACTCAAGCCAGGCCTCTTTTATTTGAAACGAAAATTTTTAATATATATCAGCTCAATGTTTTTAATACTCTTTGTTTTATGGAAATGTAAAATAAATTCTTCCCCAATTTTTTTCCATAACTTATATACTATGAAAGATAAAAATTAATACAATTTGAGAATGAGAAATGACAATTTAATTCGGCAATTATTTTATCAAATTAATTTTGGGAAAACAAACATTGCATTTCGCGGAGCTTCTCTTTCAAATAAAATAGTTTTAAAACATTTTAATTTTTTTCTCTGGAATGGAGTTGCCTCTCATTTAAGAAGAAACTTGAAGAAATTATTTTTTCTCTAGATAATATATTTTTATATTTTTAAACGTTTAATAATTTCATGTATTATTGTATTGATTATTCATGTATTATTGTATTGATGTATTTATGCTGTCAAGTTTTTATTGGGATATACAACTATAATATTTGATTATGATTTATTGAGTTGTAAATTACGAGCGGTTCTCGATGACATAACCTGATTGTCTTCTGCGAGTCTCCGCGTTCTTTTTATAAACATAAATACCTGTGCAACTATTTTATCTTTTACTTAGTTCTTATTGTAGGATTTTATTATTTAAAAGCTTTAGTTCGCCATCTTGCTTTGCGGCCAATAAATAAACATGTTATATATTATATATATATATACATATATATATATATATATATATATATATATATATATATATATATATATATATATATATATATATATATATATATATATATATATATATATATATATATATATATATATATATATATATATATATATATATATATATATATATATATATATATATATATATATATATGTATATATATATATATATATATAATATATAACATGTTTATTTATTGGCCGCAAAGCAAGATGGCGAACTAAAGCTTTTCAAGAATCGTGCATCTTGTAAGTTATTATTATGTCATTGGTCACAAATTTACGTGAAAAAGAGGTTTTGTTCTTATTCATGAAATCGAGATTATTTAATTATGTTACGCAAACGCTTTTACTTACTTTTTTATCGGACTGGTCGAGGCGGTTTGGTCGTAAATCCATCTTTTGGTAAGTTACAGCCAGTAACCTTAATATATTTAAAAAATATTTGTTTTATTGGTTCTATTAAAAAAGTGCAAATTTTTTATTTTTTTATCTATTAGTTCTGAAATAAATCATTTATCTTATAATGATGAATTCATTTTTTCTTAAAAGTTCAGATAAAATTAAAATTCCGATCGAAAATATATAAAAATATGTAGTATGAAAAAGTATGAAATATGTAGACGAGTACGTATTTCTTGTGTATACTCTTTTATGTAACTGTTTTTTATTTGTAAATTCTTTCCACTCATTTATTCTATAGAACAAAGTTCAAGTTTTAATTGATAAAAAAAGCAGGCTAAAATTATAATATTTCTTTTGTATACTTTTTCATGTATACATAAATAATATAATTGTTTTAAAATTTTAAGAAGTTAGCTCATCCACTTTAACAAATTTAAATATTCAGCAATCTCTCTATATATGCATATATACATAGTAAATACATACACAAGTGTAAAAATGCATATCAATAAAATAATAAATATTATAGTAATTATTTATAATGATAGTTTGTATATTAATAATAGTAATAGTTATTACTAATCATTAAAAAGTATTTATAATAATTATAAATATTTTAAGATATTTTAAAGTCTCTATAAACGAGAGCATAAAAATAGAATTATTTTAGGCTGCTAAACTCTAGATTTGCATAGCTTGCCCATTTCAAGTTCTCAGTGTATGTAGTGGACTTAATTGTTCTACCTAAATAATCATCTGATGTATCAAGATAGTCAATTCCAAAATATTTGCTGTTAGGTAATCCTACAGTTACGCGGCCTTAAATAGTTTTATCTTCCCGCTTGTCAGTAGAGGCTTTTCAAACAATAGGAATATAATTGAAAAAATAAAATGAAAAAAGATTGCTGCCCCATGCCAAACCCTCATTTGATGTAGCAGCACTTCCTTGTAGCAGCAGGCTATAAGATAGTCGATGTAGCAGCACTCCGTTGCGAGTCAGGCTGTAAGATAGTCGATGTAGCAAAACCCCCTGGCGCAACAAGCGCAAAAATATAATTATTTTAGGCCGCATAACTGTAGCTTTACCTGTTGCTATCTATTTTAGTATGATGTCCTTAGTGTGTATCTAATTCTGCATTCGCAGATGTGTTTAAATAGATAGGAAATAAATAAAACAGATTTTTATTCCAGCAAATCACTTATTCTAAACTATTTAGGTTCAAGTAAGCATTTTTGGTGCCAACATAACTCTGCAAAAGTGTGTATATATATATATATATATATATATATATATATATATATATATATATATATATATATATATATATATATATATATATATATATATATATAAAATTTAGTAAAAACACTTATCTAATTTTTGTGCTCTTCAACATCATATTTCACCATCAGTAGGTTTCACCATCATGTCTTCAACATCATGTTTTACCATCAATAGGTAGGCTTCCTGATAAATCTGCTGATGGTGAAACATGCTTTTGAAGAGCACAAAAATTAGATAAGTGTTTTTACTAAATTATTATTGCTCTGTTTTTTAAGAACATTGAGCACTCTATTTGTAGAATACTCTAACATAATTTTTATACATGTATATGTATATAAATATCTTTGCGTATTCAGCCAATGATGTTGCCATACTTAAGGGAGCTGCATGACTTAAGTGTGCAAATTATGTTAGGATAGTGGTTTTTAAATGCATGCAAATGATAGAAATGATTGCTTATTGTAAATAATCATAGTAAAAATTTATTTTAAAATTTTTTAAAAATTTGTTAAAGATATTCATTATAAACGAATATTTATATATTATATTACTCTGTGTGTGTGTGCATATGTTTATATGTGTGTGTATATCATAGTGTTAGCCAGCCCAACTGTATCGTGGAATTCTTAATGGGTTTAAAATTTCCAAAATTCAATTTTTTTCAATTTTTTTTTTTTTTTTTTTTTTTTTTTTGAAGTAATACAACAATATCAATAAAAGTTCCCAATGTTTTGTAGAACAAGCACAATAAAACAATAAATATTCCCAATTTCACAAAGAAGCGGTAAAAATATACTCCTGGCTAACACCCTTTGTGTTTGTGTGTTATATATATATATATATATATATATATATATATATATATATATATATATATATATATATATATATATATATATATATATATATATATATATATATATAATAGATCAATTATGGGAGCTGAAAAAATTCCAACTGGAGATGCCACAAAAGGTGCAAAAGTATTTAAACAAAGATGTGCTCAATGTCATGTAATTGACCAAAGTGGAAAGCATAAAACTGGACCTAATCTTTATGGATTAATAGGTCGAAAAACTGGACAAGCTCCAGGTTTTAGTTACACACAAGCGAATCAAAATAAAGGAATTACCTGGAATAAAGATACACTGTGGGTCTACTTAGAAAATCCTTCTAAGTATATACCCGGAACTAAAATGGTGTTTGCAGGAATTAAAAAAGGGCAAGAGAGAGCTGGTAAGTATTCAAAAAATTTATGTACAATTTTTTTAATTGTCTTGTTTGATTTCATCATGGTGATTTTTTCTTATTTCTTAGATTTAATTGCCTACTTGGAAGAAGAGTGTAAAAAATAGAATTAATAAATTGTAAAATAATGATTATGCATTTAATGTTTTTAAATATATAGTGTTGTTTTATAATTTCTTCTATCTAGTTTGATAAAAATTTATTTTTCAAAATGTTCTGCAATAATGTAAAATTAAAATCATTTTCTTTATTCGTTGTAATATTAATTTCGACTCTTTTTAAGCACTTGACGCTGAGGCAATAGTTAATTTTTATGATTTTTAATATTATAATCTTTAACAACTTGTTTTCATTGCGTAAAATATTTTTAAAATTCCATTAGGTGCATCCGCCCTCAGTCTACATTTTAACTTGATTATGTTTATAAACCTCGTAACATGGATAAAAGATTTAATAATTTTGTGCGTTTGTTAATTTAAACTATATTAATTTATGAAGTATTTAAATGAGTATTAAAATACTTTTCTTTTGTCTGCCAAAACCTAAACCCTTGAGTTGATTTAAGTACACTTCACTACACGCTTATCCCCATTTAAATCAGTCAGTTCACTGCGTTATGACTACGGTCATAACAGTCAATTTATGCATATATTATAATAAACTTTAAAAATTAAAAAAAGATAAACAATATTCGAAACTTCTTTTAGAAAAACTTTTTAACAAAACAAGTTCTTACGGAGTATTTGGAGTCAACTTTGCCACCCTTGCCTCATAAATTAATCATCTAAAAAATAAAATATTTAACATTTTTCGCGTGCAAATAGTGTTTATATTATGAACATGATGATCATTAAATAATGCATAATTTGTGCGTACATATAATGAATTCATTTGATATTCTTGGTTACACCAAATCCATTACCAAAATATATTACCGGATTCTTCTGGAAATATTCCGGGCATTTTTTAGAAAAAATGGCTAGATTTTTAACTATGATCAGTATTTTTCAAAGATGTTTTATCATGAAGGAAAGTTATATGTACAATTCTTATAAATGAGTGATTTTCTTCGTATGAGAAAGACGCGTTTTTATTGTGGAGTTTCTTTTTTTCTGCTTTTTTTTTACTTAAATTTACTTTTTCTCTGCCGGATATTTAAAATATTTTCTTGCAGCTTGCATTCTCTCACTATCTTATTGAAAATATTTAACAAGAAGTTTGATAAAATGGAAATTAAGCTATTAAATCTTCAAGTTTAAATTAAATGTATTAAATGAAATTTGTGTACTCAGAATATCGGTGGAGTTTCACAATTTTCATCAATAAAATTTAAATAAAAATTAATAACGACAAAACCAAGTAGAAGACAGAAAGCCCGTATAGTAAGCGTAAAGTATTTTTAACAAATTTCTCATTATATAAATTTACAAATACTCGTCATATAAAACAAGTTAATACATTATTACAACAAGAATACGATAAATTGCAAAAAAATAAATAATTAGATACAGTAAGAAATATTACAAGAATTTTTTTTTTCTTTTTACTTAAAATTACAAAAAAATGTTTTGCGTCTTTTAATTTAAGTAAATACAGTTTAACTATATTTTTAAAACATTTTATTGAAGTTATACTTTTCATATTTTCATTAAGAACTATGTTCCACAGACAAGTTTTAAAAGTAATGTTGAACTTGGTTTTAAAAAAAAATGTTGAAATTGAACGGGAGCATAGGACGGAGCAGTCCTGTGAGCCCGTTCACAGGACTCTTTCGTTTTTGCAAAATTTACAAAAACAGTTATTTAAAAAAGCAAAAGATTTGAGAGCCAAAGATAAATATGCTTAAGTTGTATATAATAAACTTATAACGCGTGACTTTAAAGAAATTCTTTTATCTTAGAGTTATATTTATTATTTTTTTTAATTTTTATTGTTTTTAAATACTAAAATGGATTCAAACCACTGTAAAAATTTTGGCATTTTTCAATGAAATATTTTATATTTAAAAAAGAGTCTGATCCGAATCAAAGTTGTTTTAGTGAAACAGATGCTTTACAAAGCAACTGCTGCTACTTTTATAATTTTGAAATAAACGAATTTCTTGAACGGGATAAATTTAATGCAATTCAGATAAATTTAAGAATTTTGAAAAAAAATTGAAAATCTTCGCAAAAGTTTTAAGGAAAATCGAACTATTATTGGTGTAATATACCTAATTAAAACTTGGTGTAGTTCTGATGACTCAAATTTAGATAATGATTTTATAATACCGGGCTATAATTTGATTTCATTCGGGCGGAAAACAAATAAACGCGGCTGTAATTTAATTATTTATGTAAAAGAAACCTACGTTATATCAGTAGGGACTTTTATAACCTATATTATATCAGTAGGGACTTTTATCACGTGACATTTTATCGCGGAAAAAAATACTTTGAAAAATTTAGTCCATAAAACGCATGAAAACATTTTATGTTGGTGTCGAAGAATAAAAACCCACCCATAAAAATTAATGGTATATAAGTATATATAGATGTTATTTTATTTAGAAAAGGATGTACTACAATAATTTGTTTGGGGAACACGTTTTGCTTTAAAATCGATAAAGTTATTTAATTCTAAATGTTTCAGCTTTGTTTAAATACAAGTAAATTAATATAATTCTTTCGTCCCCACATAAAAATAGATTCTGCAACTACTTATTATGTCAATAAGTTTTGGTATTTTTTTTTTTTTTTGTAGTTTAATAGGGTGGGTTTTTTGTTTTCTAATTGCAGTTTTTAAAATTTTCCCCGTCTTTAGATATTTTTGAGCATAATCAAAATTTAATAAGGTAATTTTGCCGTTTTTCTTAAACAAGTAAAGTAATCTAAGAATTTTTTCACACAATCTCTCGCATGAATTTATATACCTGAAATTTTATTATATGTTTTTACTAACAGCATTATAAAGTGGGTTTATTTTTATGTTTTTGATGTTGTTGTTGCTAACCAATTAGTGATTTAATTACAACAGTTTATCAGTAAGTCTTATTTATAACTTACAATTTACTTTTTTTACAATTTACCTGATTTTAAAGTTATATATATATATATATATATATATATATATATATATATATATATATATATATATATATATATATATATATATATACAGTGCTGGCTTCACGCGGGGACTTAAGGGACTAAAGTCCCAGGGCCCTGGTGAAATCAAGTGTCACTTTTTAGCCAAAGTCATATCGCGCATTTTGCGCTGATTTTGTATGGGAAAAAAAAAACAACAAACTTTCGTAAAGTCTATTTGTTTCAATGTAAATGGTTTTGTTTGTATCAAATATCAATATATTTTTTTAAAAATAGTGGTTTAAGTTGAAAGTTGTAATATTTTAGAAAAAATTGATTTAAATTTTTTGAAAAATTTCTTTCTAAATGTAAATGGTTTTGTTATATTGCTCCGTTTTCAAAAATAAGTAAAAGGTGAAGAGTTTTTACGTAATTAATAACAATTTTTTAGTTTCTATTGTTACAATTTTTTATTGTTATATATTTTGTTAAAAGGAAATACGGTTAAAATAAAAAGTGGATCAATGAATAGAAAATTAAAAGCTGAAAAGCAAAAGAAAATGAATGAAAATGTAGCAAAATGTCAAAAGATAAGCAAATTTTGTGGTAAACTTATTATGATATTTATTATGCTGTTCATTGTTCATGTTCCTTTAACTTACTTATAAATGGTTATAATGTTGTTTTTTTAGAAACATCCTCATATGCAACTTGTGATACTAGATCACTATCAGGGATAACAGAATTGTCAACATCTATTACTAAAGCTGCCTCATCACTTACAACTTTGTTTTCAACATCAGCTACCCAACTAGATATATCATTAGTGCCATCATTCTCTCGGGCAGGTGAGGCTGTCTGTGATGATTTGTCACTTCTTGTGTGTTGATATGGTAGTTGAAAATAATATAAATATATTGGAAACTCGTGATACTGATTTAACTGGTATTGTTTTCTTTGATGTTGGTGCTTGGAATAATGATCAGGAAATAAAGAAAATATATATAATTGACAATGGCACAGAAAACTTCCAGCATAAAAATTGTAATTTTTCCAAATCTGCAAAAACTGTTGGAAAGCATGTAAGATGTTTTCAATCATTAACATTTTACCTTATTAAAGAAAATAAACAAAAGGTTCTATGAAAATAGATGTGTTATTCCCCAGTGAAAGGATAAGTATATTGCATCCTTTGTGTGGCATTTGGCGTAGAAGAACAATCAAACAGTTTTTTGTCTGGCTATACAGATTGGAAGCATGCAGAGCGTGATTTCTGCCGTCACAAAAATTCCAAACAGCATAATGAGACTATGATAGCACTTTTAAAAACTCAGAAAAAAGTTGAACCTTTATTTTTATCAGTACTGAATGATCAAATAATGTTTTGGAAAAAAAAAACTCTTGAGGATAGTTGATGTGATAAATTTTTTAACATCTAGAGGGCTTCCTTTAATGGGTTCTGTAGAGAGGTTTGGTTCTACTCAAAATGGTAATTATCTTGGATGTTTAGAATTGGTTTCTCAGTATGATCAATTTCGTGTAAATCATATAAAACAAATTTCTTGTATGTGTTGATGAATTAAAAGCACAACTAACAAATAGGCAAAATGTTTATACTGAATAAGGTTGTTTATTCAGCTTCTTAAATAAATTGAATAGTTTGACAATTCAGGAAATTTCATCAGCTTGCAAGTTGTATACAAAGATCATAATAATATGGATTTGGCTGACCAATTATTACATTTTAAACATTTATTTTTTGATAATGGGCCAGACTTAGTGAAAGATGTGTCAATTAAATTACAGATGTTTAAATTTATTGAAAAGTTAAATTTACAATCAGTTTTTCCGAATTCGGAAACTGTCCTCCATATATATTTATTGATCATGGTTTCAAATTGTTCAGGTGAAAGAAGCTTTTCTGTGCTGAAAAAAGTTATTTAAGAAGTTCAATGCAGCAAGAGCAACTCATCAAATACGTTGTTTTCAATTGCCATTCTTGCAATTGAAAACAACGTATTTGATGAGTTGGATACAGCAAGCATCATCAATTATTAAACAAGTTTAAATAATTACTTAATTATTATA